GCTGCATCCAGCCCTAGCTGGATGGCTTATAGCTTCTGGACTTAGGTATTAGTGATCTAATAAAAAACCAAAACAAAACAAGCCCCAAAAAAAACAAAACAAAAAACCCCCATATATATATGTGGGTAGGGGGAAATGCAGCCTACACCAAATTATTGGATAGGAAATAGAAAACCCAAGCCATTATTTATGAATAATTAACTAACTGATAATATAGTGTAAAGGAATTCTATTATTAGATATAAGAGGACTGTGTTTTGAAATACATCAGCACTTAAACTGCTGAACATATTTGGTGCCCACAGTGTTGTGGAGCTCTGTTGTTTATAGCATGCTTCTCTTTCTTACCTCTGTGAAGCTTTTGTTAAGATCCAAGACTGTGTCCCATTATAACTACAAACCTGTAAAAATATATATAAAGTAGAATTAAACTCCACATGTTTAATGTATTCTAGGAATCGGAAAGATTGATGGAAAATTGTTACCAGATGTGCCAGTATTCAGTATTTTCTTTAATTTTTGTGTGGTTCCTGAAGTGTAAGGTATTGCAGTAGCCAAGGTCATGTTGCATAAGACCCCGGAAGGGTGATTTCCCACTGAGCTCTCTTCAATATAGACTGGCCCATACCCTGGACTGGCAAGGTCATTTTCCAGCTTTCAAAACCACAAAAACTGCTTATCTTGTGCAAAAGAGAGTCCATTGTCATGCCTTCTTTCCCTTTGTCTGTCATTTACAAAACACCGGTGCTGTGAATGTAAATGACTGAGTTTTTGGATTTTTATGTGTAGAATATACATGTACACGTATGTATTTTTGTTTATAAATTTGTGTTTTAATAGAAGACTAATTGAAAAGATGTGTCTGTGATTTGAAAACATTATGATACCACCTGGGACAAGATGACTTAAGTGCAGGAAAGGAGTAGTCTGTTAGTATAAATAGCAGATGAAATTGAAATAACAATATAATATAGTTATGCAACTACATTTCTTGCAGCTTGCTTTCTCTTCTCACTCTGAAGTGTGTGTAGACATGCTTTATAATTTTATCTTAATCGTAGTCATTCCAAAATTTTATTCTTGTGATACCTCCACAGTGCAAAGCTGGAGCTCTCATTAATGGTTAACCCTGCTTGGGTTTATTTATTTCTCTAAAGTCTCTCCAAGGCAATAGCTAAGCTTTTGGTTTGAAATTGTCTGTTCTGGAGATAGTGCACATAATTTTTTGGTTTCACCATCCTTCAGCACTCTTCCAACATGGGCATTTGGGTTTTTGAACATGGACAGCAGACAGGGCTCACTTTCATGCTCTGAAAGTGCCATATTGCTGCGTTACAGTGTAGTCTCCAGATTGTTTCAGATACTTTGAACTTAAACATATTGAATGCTAATGATGTGTTGGGTGTGTAGGGCCAGATGATGAGGCCCAACACCCCTCCAGCAGATGCTGTGCCGTGCTGATGTGACCAGTTTTCAATAATGGGAAGTATTTCTAAGCTGTGTGGATGTGAGCCAGAAGGTACCATTTATCTTGTGTTTAGCAGAGCAGACCTTTATCACTGTGAGTGCTTTTGCCCCTCGAGAGCAGAACAGTGTTTTTCTACTGTGTAGCCAAACCTTTGCTTTTGCTCATTTTTCTTTCTTCTGTTTTCCTGTTATTTTCTTGATTGTTTATCCCTTTTTCCTCCCCTCCTCCTTAATCTTGTTTCCTTTCCCCTTTAACACAGGTGACCAGCAGAAACTTCATGCTGTGCTGGATCCCCTGGGTGGAAATTAAGATGCAGGAACACAAAGTAAAAGCACATTTCATGTGTACTGCCCGAGTCACCATGTAGGTGTGCACGCGTCTGGTGTCTGTATTTTCATTTCTAGCTCTTCTAGAAGCCATTAACACGGAGAAAGAAAGCAGATGATTTTCAAGGAGATATCAGCTATTAAATAAAACCAGAATAAGCATTTTTAAATTTGGGATTAAGATGAATCAATGCCATTTTTCCTATTCCCTTACTACTGCCATTCCCTCTCAACTGTTATAACTTCTTTTAAAAATAATTGAGAGAAGCTTTCTGATTATTCGAAGCCCTTCTTCTTTGTATAAGGACAATCAATCCCTTTTCCAGGGCAGAAACTGTTTGCAGGGAAGTGCTTAGTACTTGTATGAGCCTTGCACTTAAAAACCTCCAACAGGCTTATCCTCTCCACTTTTGTCTTTTAGTATAAGTGCCCTGAAAATGACAGAATTACACAATAGAAAATGGCAGTGCTTTTTTTACATCAACTTTAATGGACTCTTGCATTCATGTTCATTGGTCATAATGTGAGCATGTTACTCAGTACTTTGCTTTTCTGAGCAGCCATGAACATTAAACTCCTGAGGATTTCATGGCCTTGAGGTTAGTATCTTCTTGGGAGCAGAATAGCTTTATTCTTTTTATTCTGAGTATTAAAGTGTATAGCAGACTTTATTTGTCAAGTTTTATTTTTTGCCGTGACTGAAAACTATTTTTCCATGGGTGTTTCCTTTGGTCTGGCTAAAACAAATTATTGTGAAGGAAAGCACAAATTTCCATTCTTCTGCACATCTGCTGAATGTTCCTTCCCCACCCAGAGGACCAACAGTTCAACCACAGACACAGGAATTAACAGGATGAAGTGTGGTGTGTCTTGAAATGTCTTTAGGTGACAAAAGCTGGCTGTAATTCTCCTCTTTTTTTTTTCCAATAAGTTCTGTTTTGATTTTTGATGGTTGACTTTGGAAATTGTGAGGCAAACAAAAAGCTGACTGTTTCTCGTTTGTGTATGTTACGTGTGGATATGTTGGAAAGCTACCTAATCTCTTACATTTTCCAGTAAAGAAAATACAGAAATTGTATAATATCTATATAGTCTCTTATATTTTATCTAAAAGAAAACAATTTCAACAAAATGAGACTGATTTTCCTTTTTTTTTTTTTCTTTTCTTCTAAGAGAAAGCAGTAGCTCTGAAGAGCCAGTGAATATTTTGGATAGAAAGCCTCATTTTACTGTTGTTTAACTAGCATTTCCTGATTTTATTCATTACTTTGACTTGGGGGTGAGGGGAGGAAGAGAATGCTAAAGTAGAAGCAAGGGTAAAACTCCCTTATTTTGACCTTTGCACATTCTTATCCAGGTATCGCTGAATTAATTGAATTTGCGGGTCAGCAAATTGTCCCATATTTCGTATAGTCTTTGAATACCAGCTGGGGTAAGGAAATGGGCAGTAGCCACAGTGAAACTTTGAGCAGACTCCTGAATTACCTGAAACCTCAAAGTGCTAATGGATACTTCAGATTTTCTCCATTTTCAGAAGATTTCCATGGTTCTTATGTGAATTCAGTACTAGCTGACTTTTGGTCTGTTGGCATAGGTATTATATGGCTTGGTATTATTGTTAATTTTGGCATAAGTGTAAGCAAAGCCCACAGCAGAGAAAAATGACACATCAGAGTGAACACTTCCAGCATTTTTAGAAAAATTAAAATCCATGTGCACAGTTCATTAAACTGAAAATTTTATTCCCTTTGGAAATTTAGGCAGTCTGGTCTGACCAGTTACTGATAGGTGATTTTTTGATATTTGTCAGTATGTATTTGCAGTGAATAGCTATGTTACAATAATTTTATTAGATGCTATGTTTATGATCTGTGATTTAAACTTGAATACACAAAATTACTATGTGAATGCTTTGTTTTGCCCAGAAGGTAATTAAAACATGTGCTTTCTATTCAGATATGAAAAGGAAATGTATGGAAGGGTTCCTAAGCATTTCATATGTAGGTACCTGAATTTAAGACAAGTGCCTAAGTTGCTTTGATAATTGATGACTTGGAACAGGTACTTCCAGAGTGCAGTCTCCTCCAAAGAGTGGTTGGCTAAGAGGTCAATAAATTAACTATATATATGGAGAGACAATAAACTGTTAGCTAAAGATATGTGAAAGGAGACTCTTTGTCATCAGCTCTTCTGCAAATGAACAGCTTTGTTAAACTGTGGTGTAACACATCCCTATCTTACTTAATCCTATCTTGCTCCCATTTTCTGCACACAATGCTTGGACAGTGCTATATATAGATATATCTGAATCTTTGTGAGTCATATGCATCATCTTAGCAATGTTAAGACATATATGCACTTTCAAAGTCCAAGAATTTCTGAAATAATTACGTGTACCACCCCAATGATGGATAACTTCTTCCAATGTCTATCTGCTACGGCTCAAGTACATGGTTTTGAGTTATTACCAGTTAAGATTGTTCTTCGTAAGATTATTCTGTGTTCTACAGTCTCAAGGCAGGATAAAACTTGATACTGTCCCCCAAGGAAAAAGGAGACAACAGTAATTCAGGGTGGCCTCAGATTTCTGAAGTATTTTGTTTACAAACATATAGATATGTACTTACTGGAATTTATAAAACACATGTATTTTCAAGTCTATCCAATAGAGAAATTTTATTGTGGTAATGAACTGTGCTATTTTAGAGCTCATTTTTATAATAACATTGCCTTATATGAATTAGCATATGAAACTGTGTTACTATGACAAAAGCTGTGTATCTCTGCAAGATAATATTCCACCTACAAACACATTCCATATTCACTATCTATCCTACATGCTAGCAATGAATTGATGCTCAGACTGTGCATTACTGGTAGTGGAAATAAAGGTGTTAAATCCAAAATACAGTAGAAATGCAGAATTTTATAGGGTTGTAAAATTAATAAGAATTTAAAAATAAAATGTGGCTGCAGAGCTGTTTGCCATTTCACAAGCCTAAACCTATGTGTTAATATATGGAGCTGCTAACAAGGTAATTGTAATCCAGGCCAGTGCTTCTAAATTAAATAAAACCTCTATGAATCAGAATAAAATAAATTTACACCAGTCTCACTGAGTGCTCTTAGATGCTGCAGGATATGTAGCCCTGGAAAAATAGCCATTGTTCAGTGCTTTGTTTAACATGCTTGCTTTTTCCTCACAGTACAGTGCTGTGGATACAAATCCTTTATCTGTGTATATTATGCAGCCCATCTGGAATAAAATTATTAAGGTAAGAATTTCATTTAATAAAAACATAACATGTTAATGTAAGAATTTGTTTGAAATATAGCGTGTGCTTTCATTTAAAAATATATATTGATCAGTAAAGCTGAAATGAAGACATCTGATAAAACAAATGTTGTAGGATATATAGCAGTGTTTAAGGTGAGTATTTTGAGATTTTTTTCCTTCAAAAGAAAGGGCTTGCTTTTTTTCTGATTGCTGTAAAAAAGGCATCCATTTCTTTTCTGCATCTTTCATTATTACATTTTTCATTAAACAGCTTTGCAAACATGGATGGTTTTACTTAGTACAGATTATTTTTGTGCAGCATATGCTGCCTAACAACAGCATGGCTTTCTCTCTGTGCCGTGCATATGATTTTATGCAAGCACTGTCTCATTTTCTCCCGAGGGGACTTGCTTGAGACAGCCAGGCGTTCCTCGCAGAAGCTGAAAATGAGAGTGGTTACCATGATCACCATAACGATTGGAAGATGCCTTCTCTTGAATGCATTGCAATCTGTAGTTTTTAAAAATAAACCACTGACAAGTAGTTGTGCTGTTGTTGGCAAAAAAAAAAAAAAAAAAAAAAAAAAAAAAGCTGTATCTCAAAAAAATATGAACTTTATTGATCTCCAAGGAAGCACTGACTTCTGTGTCTGCCTCATTACAGGAAATGTTTAGGTTGGAGCAGACTTAAAAAGAAACCTTTGTACAAACAAAAATAAAGGATGTATGTAGTCAGAGCGTTGTTGGATCTGCCATCTTTGGATTCTGTGATTCAGGTGTTGCTTATTCTTCATATGGCAGGAAAATCATAATCTCTAGTTCGTAACCTCAAAGTAATTTCATGCAAAGTGTTCATATGACCCAAATGAAGAATTAAAAAGCAACCTGAACATGGGATGAGAAAAAAATAAATTCAAAGATGTGACACTGACTTCAGTAATTCAATTCAGAGACTTTGTTTTTATATTGAGGAAAACAATGAGGCAGAAAAGCCCCTCCAGCACTCTGGCATGGAAGATGAGTAGAGGCTTTACTGTGCATTTGCCCTTTGGTTTAGGAGGTGGGTGGGTATTCATGTGCTGTCAGATTGAAGGGGAGTGTTGTCAATACAAAACTTCCTTTGCAGATAAGTTCTCCTAATAGCTGCAGCATTTTACCAGAAGAAGAACATTATTGAATGTTCCCATGTAGCTTAGGGTGGTAGGTCCTATAAAAAATATGACCTCTTTAGATTTTTAAAAGTCTCATGGAGTTTTAGGTGAGCATGATTTAGTTCACTTCTTGCCAGAGGAGAACCCAAAACCAGAGCGAAGAACTTAAAACCCATTTCAACAATCAGAGTACAGAACCAAAGACTGAAGTGGGTGCTGTGTGTACTGTGCCACTTGGTTTGGTTTGAATCCTGAAGATACATCAGTGAATGTTCCACTTCGCCTTCTGGTGCAAGAGGGCTACAGAATACCTCTCAGTGATGTGTCACAAGGCTTTAAAGGGAAATGATGTTGCTCTCAGCTTTTGCATAAGTAGTCATTCTAACATTAAAAGATACTGCAATGTAGAATCGGAGTCCTGCAGAGGAGCTGGCAGTGCACAGCTGCAGAGGGAAAAGCATTATATAACTGAGATTGCAGTAGAGTCCATGTTGTTCCTAGACATAAAAATGAGAACTGCAAGAACACCAAAATTATTGGCCACAATATAATTATTTGTTAAATATCAGTAGGAATGCAAGTTACTATAATGGTTTTGTTCCTGAACAGTGCATTGCAATAGGGAGATCAGGATAGTTAAAAAAAAAAAAATTTAAAGAATGTTTTGCATCTACTATGTTCATTCAAAATTGGGCAGTACAAGTGTGCTTCTTGATGACTGGGAGAAGTTCCTTCACTCAGTTTAGACATCCTGATGCATCCATTCTCAGATATGAATTAATTCTTTTTTAGTTTCTAAACTGATAACAATAAAAATTCCACATGGACTATTTTTACTAGATTCTAGAGGAGTTTAAAAAAAAGCAACCTTAAATTCACTGAGCCAAAAAAAAAAAAAAAAAAAAAAAAAAAAAAAAAAAAAAAAAAAAACCAAAAAAACCACAAAAAAACCCCCCCAAAAAACCCCCCAAAACAAAACCAAACCAAAAAACCCCCACCAAAATACCCAAAACAACTCACAAGAACAATGGCTTGAGATTTGGGTCTTTCCTTTCATATGCCTGTTTAATCCTAATGGTAACACAAGTTTCTCTGTGTTCCACAATGAAGAATTCATTGGAAGATGTGTTTCCTATGTTATAAGTCATTACTATTCATTGTAAAATGTACTTCCTGTGTTATAAGAAATTATGACGAGCTTGACATGAAAAATCTGTGAATTTTTGAGCTGAAAACATATTGTCAGAATCCAGCTCATTTATCTCTGGTGGGGATGTTGGACAATGAGAGGAAAAGGAGGAAATCCCACTGGAATACACAGGTGTATGCCAGTATCACTGAAATAAATTAAACTCCCCTCTGTTTTCTTTATGAACTTTGATTTTATCAGCAGAATTGGGCAAGAGTAGCATTTTAGTGGTCTCAAGTGACCTAGTGAAGTTTGAACAGATCTTTGTATGTGTGTACTTTACAATTTATTCTCCAAATTGTTCCTATATTAAAGCATTTGCTGTTTGTATTAAGGCTTTTAGAATGAATGGCTAGATGCAGAAAAACATAAATCAGTTAATACTTCATGGAACTAAGAGTTTTTTAAAAGATTCAAGCACACAAAGGTTTTGCCAGAGAGCAGATGTAATTTGCCACATGGCACCTCCAGTTGTATTAATCATGGAGCACATTGATGTATTAGACCTCTACTATCTAATAAAGATTGCAGCTCATCCTTCTATAGCATACTAATAAATTCAGGCTCTATTTTCCCAAGGTGTGTAAGAAGTTAATCTTGAACACCCTGTGATTTTCTAATTATGAAATAGGGTGATGGTAGTGTAATGCCAACTAAAAAGATAACGAGCATTAAATATAACAAAAGGGATTTTGCAGCTGGAATACTTTCCAAATACCTAGACAGATTAGGTTCAGTAAGGATCAAAAGAACATGCTTAAGGGTTTAACTGCAGGAGAGTCTGCTTCCTGAGGACAGAACTCCTGTAACTGTTTTTCATGGTGTATCTCTTAGCCAAAGGGATTGCAACTATAACAAGTTGAAAAACCTTTGAAAGTTTCCTTCTTAAAATACACAGTTAGCAAGAAAGTGGATTAAAATAACTTCATTTTTGCATCATGGAAGCATGAATTATTTCCTGTAATAACTTAAAAATTACATTGTGACTGTTTACAATGATGAGTCTAATTAGAAAGCAGACATTTGTGGTGCCCCACTTGATTTGACAGTCAGCAATTCTTATGAATCATCCAGGAAAAAGCAGTCAGTTTATCCATGTAAACCATCATTATAAACATTTCATCCATAGTGTGTTAAAACATTCTTTTGATCTATGATTTAGATTAAAAGAAACAAATCTAGATTTTTTTTTTCCCCAGTGTCTGTGCTTCTTATTTCATGGAAGGTCAGGGATACCAGATAAATCCCCAGCAGGAGAGCCATCTTCTGCATCCTCAGGTAGCAAAACTGGAAGATGTGTGGCTGTTGCTGCATGCTGAGCATGCAGTCAGTGTAAGAAAGGAAGACCACGCAGTGAAGGGTTCCCCCTTAGATGCTCTCCAAAAGGAACTTCAGGGGACATTTGCTATCCCTTTTCTTAGAGGTTTAGATTTGCCCTTTTGAACACTAAGAATGATAGATATGTTACATTTTAAAAATAGTTGCTCTATGCATTCCATGGTGTATTTTAAATACAATGAGAGCTGACATACAGTGTTTTAAAATAAGTGATAAAGTCCTGCTGATAAGGAAAGCAAATATCAAATACAACAGTTTCCCCAATGTTATTACAGAAAACATCTAAGAAAAAAAATGAAAAAGTGTTCAGGAACTCTAACCTGATTTTTGGAAGTGTACACTTAGTCGGTACACCATCGGTTTCATGATTTCTCTTGATTATTACAAATTGCTCTATAGTTGAAAAAGATAATCTAGTCAGGATAGTTAATCAGCCAAAGCATTCAGATTTTAAAAGTAAATTTAAGTAAATGTAGCAGTATGATAAAATAAATTAATATGTATTTATCTGTCTGTTCAGCTAGCTAGTCCAGAAATATTAACAAAGCATTTGATTTCAAAACTATTGTTAGCATAGTTATAGTATACTATATATTCTATAGTACATTGTAATATACTATTCCTGTTAGTATCAGGAATTATATAACTTGGTTTTCTTTAATGTTTTCTTATACTATTTTATAGTGTTGAAGTACTTTATATACATTTTGAGTCCTTAGACATTCCAAATAATTTAATTATAAGCCTCCAGTATTTTTGTGTTTTAAATATATTGCTAATGTGTTTGAGTGATGGTAATGGTTGATACTTAGTATTTCTGCAAATATATTCTGTCTAAAAATCATGTAGAAAGCTGTGTAGGCTATTTCAAAAAATATTCTGGAGAAACTGTGTTACTTGGGGAGAGTGTTCTTAAAAGGGATTCCTTTTGCAGTATAAGGAGCACCTTAAAGCCACAGGGAATGAATGCCTGATAATAGTTACTGGGACAAAGAGGTTTAAGTGAAGGCAGAGAGTCCTTTTCAGCACCCTCCAAAGCAAAATGAATTAATAGAGTGTTAATAATTGATGAATAAGGAGGGAGAGCCTGTCATAAAGTTACTATCTAGAGTGTAGGGAGATGCTTGTAATGGGGAGATATTCTTTATCTAAAAGTGTAATGCACTCGGGGCCTGATTTAGTTGATGTTTTGAGTAAGAAATTATTCACATCCTTTGGAAGAAGGACTTTCCTTGTTACAGAGTGGGAATACAATGCTTAAAGAACCTGCCACGTGGATGCTGAATTACCACACTGGGGTGCTGCAGTCTTCTTTCAGTTCTGATACAGCTGATTACAAAAGGCTTTCCTTGGGGGCTGGGTAAATGAGGATAATGTACAACATTTTAGTGGGAGTACAACATTTTAAAAATATTCTTACTGCAGTCACAGAAATCAGGCAAAAATATTGCATTTGAAAAGAATTTTCCCAATTAAATGGGGAAATATATACAAATCTGAACATTGTTGATGTCATATAAAAGCTTCTTTCCTGATATAAAATATTTTATTAAAATAAGATTAAAAATTTGAAATATAATTTTTCTGAATTTTTCCTTCATTTTTTTAACAGATAGTGCCTTTGTGGATTGCTCCCAACCTGTTAACATTTTCTGGATTTATTATGATTTTATTTAATTATTTTCTAATATCTTTTTATGACTGGGACTACACTGCATCAGGTAAATATATTCATGTTGTAATTTTTCAGAATTACTGAACTGTTTATACTTCTGAATGTTTCAGGGAGGTATCAGACACTTAAATCTTCCACTTATTCCCTTAATAAGGCTCCTATAGGCACAGATAGGAGAATCTGCCTCACACATAGCATTATTAAGTTAGATAATTTTATTGAAAAATCTTACTTAATTTTATCCCTAAAATGGGTTTCAGCATAGCTGCTTGAAGTCTCTGGGAAGATCTCATTATATTTAAAGTTTATTCCTGCATTTAAATATGCAGCCAAAATCTACTTGAATATTCTTCATAACATTTTCATTGATTTCACATTTCCTGATACCTAAAATGATGCTTGAAAGAGTTAACTTCCCTTTCATTTCTCCACATACTTAGACCGCTATTCAAGACTGCTTTTAGACAAAAACATAGTTGCTAAATAAATGTCTTTTCAAATTATGACTTTTGATGTCCAAGTCCATGATTGCTCTTCACTGAAGATCAAGTTAGAATTTTTTTGATCTAATTGCTCCTGAGCATAGGGCATGTTTGGTTTGGATTTCTCAGACCAGCTGTTGAAGCCCACACAAGGTATTAAGAGTCTTCCAGAGTCTTCCAGGTGATTAATATGTAATATATATATAACAAAAGTCTTTGATTTTCTTTAAACTAGACAATTCAGTGAAGATAACACTTTTAATTCCTGAAACAACTACATTTAGCTGCCTTTATTTTGTTATGCCTGTGGTTAGCTTCAGGAGGTACCTTTGTTGTGGTTTGTTGTACATTTATCACAGCAATTCTAGAGGCAGGGATACTTGTTAGCAGTTTTGGTTCAAAAGTTACATTTTCAGGACCAGCTTGTTATACAGTTGTCGGACCTTGTTCTTGAACACCTGTCATTTTTTTATCAATGCAGATGATATTTACTCAACCCTGTAATAAAAGAACATCCAGAACAGATCTTTTTTCATGGGATGATGTTATCTTGACACATTCTCAGTATATATACATGGAATTAAAGACATTTGAAATGGTGATTAAGTCTGTTAGAGTTGAGACCTGTATGTGTAGTTTGCAAGCTTTTCCCAAGTCCACATGAGAGCAGTACCCATCATTTCTCAGTTGCTGGGAAACCTTCATACAACCTAAAGGGACTTTGGAGTATCATATATCAATCCTATACCTAGGATCAGAAATAAAAAACTTAATTTCCTGCACATTTGGTTTTCATGGTGCAGTTTGCAGATTCGCAGCTAGGAGTCAGGAATTGTGATCTTTTCTTTCAGAATGGCAAGATGAGGCACTGAGAGAAAGGTAATCAGGGCACTGCTTTAGGTGCTGGCATCTCCTGGCATCATTCAGGCAAGGACACAGCTCTGTGTGCAGGAATTCTCTGTGTTTGGTGCCAGATGGCAAAACCTGAGAGGACTTTGCATTTACAACTATTTAGTGTTGATGTAGTATTGGGCGATGTTTAAGTTAAATAGAAGTCTCTTTGGAAAAAGGATCAATTTCTTTAAGGGACCAGCAATAACCTTGGATTTGTTCTATCAGCAGAACTCGGGGCTCTGTCCAATTCAACCATCTTTTCCTTCTCATGGCAAAAAAAAAAAAAAAAAAAAAAAAAAGGGTGCTAATAAAAAACTTCCCTTTCAGATCTCTGTGATAAGAGTGCTACACAAACTCCAGATTGGTACTGATACTATTGTTTGAAAACTTCTTTTTTTTATATATATATTACATGAACATTAACTAATTTTTCAATGGATAGTCTTCCCATGACCTGTGAATATTTTTGCTTAGTTGCTATCATTGTTTTGTGTAATACTAGAGTCATTTCAGGACCAAAAAATATCTCTATTACCTTTTGTCCTTTATGGTGAAACACATTCAAACCTGCTCAGTGCTTCTTTGATAGAGCTCACCAATGCCTGAAGGTCAGACTCAAATATTTCAATCTGTTTGATGCAGTGTGTTAATCAGTGGCAGCTAGTTTGTATGTACATACATATCTTGGTGGATTTCTTTGATGTTAACCCCTGTTACACTGACTCACTACCACATTTTTTTTTTCAGGTACCAGTCCTGGACTTGTTCCCACCTGGGTGTGGCTGTTCAGTGCTTTTACCACCTTTTGTGCTTATGCTTTAGGTAATGTACAGTGAAATAATTTGCATGTCTGACATTTTCATGTAATTTTATCTTCAAATTCACTAGTGATGATTCTGAGATAAAGAGGCATTGTGCATAAATTACTGATCTCTTTCCAAAACAGTTCTCTTAGATTAAACAAGCAAACAAACAAATAACCCCCAAACCACAACACACACAAAAAAATATTTGTAAGACTTAAACCTGAAACAGCATATTAAGTAATATATTAGAGGTTTTATTACAGTAACTGTTATCCCTCTTGAAAGTTCAAATTATTTTAGAGGAACAATGGAAATCATAATATAGCAGCAGTCTGGTTCCGATCCCCCTGCCATGGGCAGGGACACTTCCCCTTGATCAGGCTGTTCAGAGTCCCAGTCTGGCCTTGAACACTTCCAGGGATGGAAGATTCCCAGCTTCTCCAGACAAAGCAATCCAGTGCCTCACCATCCTCACAGTAAAGATTTTCTTGCTAATACCTAATCTAAACCTACTTTCTTTCAGTGAACCCATTCCCCCTTGTGCTATCCCTACATAAGAATCTTTGTTCCTTGATGATGACATTCTGAGAAGCTCAGATGCCAAAATTAGCAGAGGGTGCTTTCAAAGATAGGAAAAATAAAGGACAAAGCAGAATAAAGGAATTTGTTAGGCACTTCAGTGCTTAAGGAGTGTGTCAGGAGAGATGGTGATGACAGATGTGATGACAGACCTGAGCTTCTTACAGAAATAAATATATATTTTTTTCTTTCCTCTTGCTGTTTTTCTCCCATAACACCTACACCTCACTTTCATATTCCATTTTTACTACTTTATACTGTGCCATGAGTGTATTTTTAGGTATGTTGCACCTTGCTGTGCAGTGGTGTGAAGACAGACCTGAAATCATGCTGACCTGGGAGTGAGATCCACGTTAGTGTGGCTTTTTTACTTTCTCTTCCAAAGCTCTCTTGTTCCAAGCTAGAGTTTCCACAACATGGTGCAACAGAGTTATTTTTAGGGGATACTAATGGTAGTATATTTAAAGGACTGCATTGTTCTCTATAATAAGGGCCCAGAAAGGCTGGATACATGTAAAAAAGGAAATCTTATAGGCACAGGAGCAGGCTATCCCTAGCTGAGCCATCAGGGAAGAAGATTGGCCTAGCCAAACAGGGAGCTTTCACTGGCACTTGGGGAGAATAAAAAGAATTCATAACCTTGGGAAATAGGGGCAGACAACTCAAGAAGAGTGCAAGGATGTCATCAGGTCTTGTAGAAAGAAAACTGGATTGGCGAGAACTTAGCTAGAACTCCATGTTGTCACCACTGTGAAAGATAATACAAAATGGTTTTATAAATACATTAATAACAAAAAGAGGGCCAAAGAAAATCTCCATCCTTTATTGGATGTGGAGGGGAAATTGTAACCAAAGATGAGGAAAAGGCTGAGGTACTTGATACCTTCTTTGCCTCAATCTTCAGCAGAAAGACCTGATATCCTCAAGGCAGCTGCCTGCTGAGCTGGTAGGCAGGGACAGGGAGCAGAACAGAGCCCCTGTAATCCAGGAGGGAACAGCCAGTGCCCTGCTGTAATCCAGGAGGGAACAGCCAGTGCCCTGCTGTAATCCAGGAGGGAGCAGCCAGTGCCCTGCTGTAATCCAGGAGGGAACAGCCAGTGTCACTTTCTAGCAGAGTAGCTAGAAAGAGACTCAGTGGAAGAGGATCTGGGAGTGCTGGTTGACAGTGGCTAACATTGAGAAGTGTGCCCAGGTAGCCAAAAACACCAATGGCATCCTGGCCTGTATCAGAAAGAGTGTGGATAGCAGGATCAGGGCACTGATCATCTCTCTGTGCTCAGCATCATCAAGCCTCACTTCAAAATCTGTATTCAGTTGTGGGCCCCTCACCAGAGGAAGGACATTGAGATGCTGGGGTGTGTTCAGAGAAGGGCAACAGAGCTGGTGAAGGGTTTGGAGCACAAATCTTACAAAGAGCAGCTGAAGGAGCTGAGGATGTTATGTCTGGAGAAAAGAAGTCTCAAGGATGACCTTATTGCTCTCTACAACCACCTGAAATGAGGCTGTAGCAAGTTGGGGTCGGTCTCTTCTCCTAGACAACAATCAACAAAGACAAGAGGAAATAACCTCAGGCTATGTCAGGAGTGGTTCCTGTGTGACATCAGGAAGAAATTTTTCTCTGAAAGGGTTGTTAAGCCTTGGAATGGGCTGCCCAGGAAGGTGGTGGAATTGCCATTCCTGGAAAGTGTTTAAGAAACTAGTGGACATGGCACTTAGCATTATGGTTTAGTTGACATGGTGATGTTCAGCCAGAGACTGAACTCAATGATCTTGGAGGTCTTTTTCAACCTTAATGAGTCTGTTCTTTGATGTTAAATATACCCTCCCTTTGGAGCTGTTTCTGGTAAGGCCATTGCAGTGTAGCCATATATTTGTATGCCAGATTTGAGATCCTCAGGCTATATACAGATGTAGGCTGCAGTGCTGTGCAGAGGGGCTGACCACTTTTGGAATCAGACCAATGCACGTAGAGCCATCTTGGTTCACCTGGAGTATCCCCTGGAGCAGATGTATCCCTCTGCATTCTACATACCTTGGCATTTCTATTCAGTTGGTGAGATTGGGCCAAAATATTTTTTGTCTGGAATTTCTTTTTATTTGTACCATAAAAAGCAATGGGACAACAATCCCTTGAAGGTGACTACTACTCAGTTTTCTCTAGCAGCTCTCTGTACTCAGAAGCAGTGGTTTCTTTTGTGAAAACCATTTTTTATGTCATTGTATGGAATTTAATGAAGGGACTATTGCTTCATAAATTGGAATTACATATTGGAACTGTTACTGTGGCACCCCAGAAGGATCATGGGAAGTTCAGCTTCTGAGATTTTGAATGTAGATGGTTTTTGCCAGTGAAGCTTGTAGTTCCTAATACTTGGAAGACAAGGAATATGGTGTTGACAGTCAAAACTATAATTAACTAATATATACGTAGATTTTTATGTTTGCTGTCCAAACCACTTCATGAAATATTTAGTCGGAGATTTAATTTTGCATGGCAAAAATTTTCCCTCTGGAAGACTGCAAAGAACCATAATAACTAACTAAATATGCAACTGTAAACTTTCTCAGCTTATTTTAATGACACAGTTACTCTCTCCAAATACCCTAACATGCTGCTCTCCATCCCTCCTGCTTTTTTAAGGTGGTTTGGTATAATTTGCTTCCATGAAATGGAGTACTTTTTGCTTTTACTTTGAATTCCACTCTTTAAAAGTTATACAAACTTTATAAAACGGTGTATTTATGAATCTTTGTGAGACAAAATCATAATATAAGAATTCTAAAGCAATGGAAGTGTGAGACAGTGTATGTTAACCAATAAACACACACCATTGTTGACATGAATGATTTCAAACTGAAACCTAGACCAGAAAATATTTTTAGTCTTTTAAAAAGCTAATGAAGCTAAATGGAAAATATGGTTAAGGACTTCTGAAAATCCAGTTTGATGTATGTGTCATATAGTTCTTGTATTTTTTTTCCATGATCATTATAATTAGAATCACTGTATTTTAGGACAATATTATAAGCTCCTTTTCAGAAAAAGCAAGTTTTTGCAAAATGAAAACCACTTTTCACTGTGAGGTGAAACATATATTTTATGTTTCAGAGATATTAATGGATGGAAGAATTTCTAATTTTATTGCAATACCTTTCAAGTAACCTCAAGCTTATACAGTTTTCTTTCTGCACATTTCAGTAAGATGCTGAAAATTCAATGGAAATATTAATAGAGAGAGAATGAGTCTCTAGAAGGAGGCAAACTATAGTTGAAATCCTCAATGAGATATTTAAGTTTTAGAGTTCTGAGAACTGTCTCAAAAATTTGTGTTTGAGCAGAGGATATATCACAGCTGTTTAGCTATTACAATAGAGATATAGTCTAAAATCTGTACAAAATGAAATCCCATCTTTTCCTGGTTTAGGTCCCTGAAGTATATTTACATTAAACAAAACTCACAGTACTGCCAAATAATCCAGGGAAATAAGGAGCATATGATCTACAGCAGCTGTGGCGTCTTTGGTCTCACTCTACTGAGTTGTGTTCCTAGTCAGTGTTGGGTTATTAATGCTATCAATAGCTAATAATTGTTAGCTATAGCACCTTCCAAGTAATAGAAAAAAGAAAAGCATCTCCATTTTATTTTGAGATTCAAGACAAAACCAAGCAATCTGTAAGGTTTCTTCTGTGTACTTTTCCCTAAGAGGCTTATCATGCATGTTTACACTTAACTTTAAGAGGAAAATAGTTCTATTTTTCACCTGCACAGTGTCAGACAAGAGACTAAGGGTATGGTTTGACATTACAACTCGGAAACATTACAGCTGCTAGACTACCTTTCTCTGCATTCAGCATTCCTCCCTTGTGCCACCTCCCTTGAATTTTGTACCATTCACAGTACCAATTCAGTGACCCAGAAGAAAAGATAATGTTTGCTGTCTTTCCACCAGCTGAACAGGCTGCAGGTCACTCTGTTCAACAACAGTGAACTACCAGGTCAACTCAAACCATATTGTCCAACTACATCCTCAGAGTTATGTCCTGTACAGTGCTGGATCATTTTTTAAGCACTCAAGTACTAAAAGTGATCAACACATAATGCACCTTAACTATAATGCATTCTTAGAATCATATAATTGTACATGTTGGAAAAGATGTTTAAGGTCATCAAGTCCAACCATTAACCCAGCAATGCCAAGTCCACCACTAAACCATGTCCCCAAGTGCTGCATCTGCACATCCTTTAAAATCCTCCAGCGATTGTGACTCCACCACTTACCTGAGCAGCCTGTTCCAAGGGTCTTGGTGTATAAAGTTTTCCTAATGTCCAATGTAACCTCCCCTGGTATGACCGGGGATTGTTTCTTCTTGTACCTGAGAGAAGAGACTGGCCCCCATATCACTAAAACCTCCTTTCAGGTGGTTGTAGAGAGTGATAAGGTCACTCCTGAGCCTCCTTTTCTCCAGGCTAAACAACCCCAACTCTCTCAGACTTGTGCTCCAGACCCTTCCCAGCTCTGTTGCCATTCTCTGGATACACCCCAGCCCCTCAATGTCCTTCTTGCAGTGAGGGGCCCAGAACTGAACACAGAATTCAAGGTGTGATCTCACCAGTGCTGAGTACAGGGGGACAATCACTGCCCTGCTCCTGCTGGCCGCACTATTTCTGATGGAGGCCAGGATGACATTGGTCCTTTTGGCCCCCTGAACACATTCTTATATGAAAACTGAAAAGTTTAAAATATATGTAGGCACAAATACAAATAAATTTTGTGAAATTTGTTCCTTTAAGCTGCCATTTAACTGTTAGTCATTGAGGTATTGAACATCAAGGAACTTAAATGCCCTAGTGAATCCACCCCCAAGAGGTGTGAAGGCTCAGAGGGTCCACGACACCAATGGATGGGCAAGAAGCCCTATGGACAATTTTCAGCACTTGAAACTAATTGCAGGAACTGATGTAAAAATGTTTCAACACCCCTGGGGGCAAGTAATTATGAGTGTCTTTCTAAAATTCATGAGGAAGGTGGCATTTCATTTCAGAGCTGAGGTAAGGACAGAAAAAATACTTGATATCTGGAGCAATTATTTTATGAGAAGTTCTAACCTGTTGGTATTGAGGGGGCTGTTGTACTTCAGTCTGCTCTCATTAGTGTAATTTTCCTGTATGTTATATATGGCAATAGTGAATTGTATGTGAAGAAATCTACTCCTTTTGTTGTGCTCTAATTCTTTATTTTCCTTTCTCAATCCTTCTAGACTCCATAGATGGGAAACATGCTCGAAGGACTCAGTCCAGTACTCCTCTGGGAGAACTATTTGACCATGGGCTGGATAGCTGGGCTACCTCCATTTTTGTGCTTTCTTTTTTTTCTGTCTGTTCCCGTGACAATGGGAAGACTGGAGTTTCTGTATATACAATGTATATATATTTAAGCATTGTCTTGTTTAACTTCATGTGTTCACACTGGGAGAAATATAACACAGGAGTTCTTTTTCTTCCTTGGGGATATGATATAAGCCAAGTGGTAAGTATTTATCATCCCTGTTTTGGTTTTTTAACTATGTAATTGTTTTCATAATATTAAAGCAATAGAAAAATAGAGTTCAAGGCAAATATATTTGGCTGAGATATTGAAATATGTGAAATTGCAAAACCCTAGAAGTAATTCAGAAATATTTTCTGCATTTGCAATAAAGGGCTGCTCTTGAGCAAATTGTCAGCATCAGTGATTCATTGCTGTGCAGGAGAAAAAAAGGCTTGCAGCAAGCCTAGCAGCCAGACAGTGCCCATGAGAATGTCATTTAACTGCATTTGATTTATAGTGTTAACAAAAATTACTGTGCTATCTGAAGCCACAAGCTATTTCCCCCCCAATACCAGATTGTGAGCTATGATGTGAATTAGTCCAAGTAGTGTCTATTAACAGTAATTACACAGTTACACACTACCAGACCTTCACAATTCTACTCCATTTTATAACAAATGTGGTAATGGAAATAGCACTGTACCTATGAAGAGAGCAGTAACTGTTGTCAAGTGAGTTCTGCCTTTGAAAAATAATTCAGTCATCATGGATATCAAACAGTCATAGACATTCAGTAAGGTGAATTACTTAGCCCACAGTCATCACCAACTGAGTTCTTGTCTGGTTTTCAGCCCTATGGACATCTTCAGAAAACATGCCCAGGGCACCAGAGTGAATGGTATCCTCAGTGCACAGATGAGTAGCAGTATTAACAAGCTCAGTGCCCTTCCAAAGGCCCAACACTGGGTTTTTTGTGGGCTGGCTTATCTGGGTCTCAGATAGCCAAGGTCTTGCAGCCTGAAGAGCACAGTCAGTCTTCTGAGCTTCCTGTTACAGGCACGACATGAAAGGTACAGCCAAATAACTGAAAAGAAGTTTGACAAATACTCAAATATGTGTTTTAATAGAAATACAGTATTCGAATTAATGGCTGCAGCTGTAATGCTGTAAACATAATCAGAATCCAGTGGTTTGAGAACAACTCAGAGATGGTGGTCCAGCTGTGGTGCATCTGTGTTGTCCCCTAGAAAATAGGTTTTGGGAGAAGTTGGCTCAGGACTAAGACATTAGGCAGCCAGCTGGTCTGCAAGTTTCAGCCATGTCTGTGTAAGGCTTCTCTGTGGAGTTTTTCCAGCAGGAGGGGAATAGCTATGTTCAAGCCTATTTCACTTGTTACTCAGATGATCACTGTACATGTGAATGTTTAGAAGGCTCTGCTGGATCTCTGCAGCATCCAAACTGTATTAGTGGTTAAATCTGGGAATGGGTATCAACTAGCAGAGCAGTACTGTTAACTCAGTCAGTGCCTGTTGCTGACCTGTGCCTGTGGCCCTGTTTTCTCATCTGGGAAATAACAGTAGTAATACTTCCCTGCCTGACAGATTTGTGGTGAGGCTGAATATTAGTAAAGTTTGTAAACTGCTTTGATTAACTGGGATGCAAGGTGCTAACAAGTGTTGTTTCCTGTTCTCCTCTGATGCTGAACTGCTGTCCTGCTCACTTGCTTTTTAGTGCCTTCTGTGATGACTTGATTACAATCAAAGTGATAAGCTTGTAAATGTGAGAATTTTTTAATGTTCTTTAGCACAGTCATCAGCAGTGGTAGAAGACTGTACTACTGAAATCCCTGTAGTTTTCCCATTGGTAAAAAAATAGCTGTTTTGATTGCCTATGAACAAAGAGAAGGCAAGCTTTTTAGCTCAAGGTGGTATTTTTCCATTAGTCCAAAAATATACTATATGTACACCAGAAAGTACCTAATATATTTTTTCCAATTCTACTGACTAGTCTAGTAAAAGATCTTAATTCCCCTAAAAAATTGGTTTTGTTTTGTAAATTCATTCAGCAGGTTTATATTATATGTGCACTATTAAAGATAGGTCTTCATTTCCAGTAGCTTAGAGGATACTGGGGACAATAGCAAATATCTGATGATGAGTAAGAAAGGTAATGTTTCCCTTGCTGTTTCTTTTTCTCCATTACTTCTCTGCCAGGTATTCCCACAATCACATTTAGAAGCAGAGAGTGTGAAAGCACTCACTAGCTGCTTCCAGAATGATTCACAATGTTTAGTTCAGTATTTCCTCCATGGCATTCCTCGCTGGATTGCTGCAGGAATGTGCCTCTCTGTCCTGTCTTCAGTAATTTCACCTACAGCTTAACGTTGCACTGGCATGTCAGACACTCTGCTTTTAAACTGGTGGGTAGTCAGGAACTTTGGGCTTTGTTATTGCCACAGAAATCAAGAAAAACAGTAGTTACTGTCAGAGTGCAAATAGAGGACTGATGACCTTAATGAGCACTTAAGTGGCATGTGGCTCCCAGGACACTGCTGCTGAGTCAGCTCTGCTGTACATAAACACAGCCTGCTCACGGGCTGCCTCAGCTGTGCTAGAGAAAGAGCTGCTGTTCCTCATGAAAAAATACCTTGTTATAGACAGAGAAATCTGTGGCACTTATGCACATCACGTTTTTCTGCGACTTGATGACTCATCAGAACTGGGAACCCAATTACGCTCGCTGGGCTGTAATTGGCACTCCAATTAGCTTTGATTACAGCAGACAATCATTTGCAGGAAGCTGTGGTTTGTAAACTTGAAAAATGGCTCTAATGTGTCTGAGAGATGCTTGGTCAGAGGACCATTCTGTTTGTGGATCCAGAATCAAGGTGGCAGCAAATGCAGCAAGGGAAAGCTATTCCTGTCTCTCCTCCCTCCTGCACAAGGATCTATCCTGTTCTGATTCCTGAGTAGCAGGAAAAGGTGCAGGGAGAGGAGACTCTGTATCATAGCATCTAGACAATTTCCATGCACTTTTGAGTAAGCACACCTATTGGAAACCCCAAAAGTCTGAAGGCTAAAAAGTAAACCTCTGCTATAATCTGTGAGAAATTACCTTGGATATATCTTGTGAAAACTAAGACTTATTTTTGTTACAGGACAGACCAAAGAAAGCTAATATCTGCAAATTAAGTTTCTTGAAGGAAAAAAAAAAAGACAAAGCTTTTCCGCCTTCTTACCATATGATAATTTTCACAAACATCTTCTTGTTTTGTTTTAAAAAAAATTGTTTTCTTTCTGAAGAATTTACTATTACCCTAATGAAATACTTGTCTAATCCTGCTGTTGTTTTTCATAAGTCACTGCAGTTGAGTTCATAGCAGGGGAACAAAATACTATTTTTTCCTTAATATGATGTAATGATACATCTGCTCCATTGGTGCTGCCTTTAAGTGTAGCAGGATATACCCTTTATATTCTTAATTAAAACTTTAGAAGTAAAGAGCTGTGTGACAGCTACAGTGACCCAGACGATTCCACTCTCCTTCCTCTTCCTCTCCCCAGCCAAGAGGGGCAAGCTCAGAAGAAGCACAAGCAGCAAAATCCCAAAGGCAACAGGCAGCTCCCTCTGAACCAGCCCTTGCCCTGCAAGGAGAGGATGACCAGAAATCCCACAGAGAGAGAGTTGTGCCTGAAGGGATGGGTGCTTGTGCCATGAGCCCCAGCGTTTCAGGCTAAGATGCTTTCCCAGCTGCTTCTGCCTGATGACTTTGGACAGTACCACCTAGAGCTTCTGGGAGAACCCTCTGCCTGCCTCGGAACTCTGAATAAATGGAAGTACACGATGCCCCTAACAACTGAAACATTGTAGAACTTCTTTTTCTCCTTCCTTTCCATAAAGCTGGGGAAGGTTTCTTTCATGGCTGCCATATACCAGGTTTTCTTTTGACAAGCTTATTTACAAAAGCATGCTGAAATATGTTCTATATGACCTTTTCCAGGGATGAACTGCAGGGAGTGTTTTAGGAACTGGCAGAGAAATCCCAAAGAATGCAAGTGCACATCACATAGTGAAAAAATTTCTACTTCCTCTGAGGGGCAAAAAACCTTTCCTATTAAAAAGCAAAATAAAGATGCAAATATATTGTTCTTTGGTCACATTATCAGGATTCACAATTTAATTTCAGTTGAAAGGATGTTCACTTTCAAAGCTTTTCTAATTTGAAGTGTCTGTGGAAAGCATAGCCTTTCTTGTGAAGAAAAGTATTATTACTTAGTTCCAAAGTTGGAGCACAGTGGAATGGTTGAAGTAAGAGAAGTGATAGCAGTGAGGAAGCAGTGCTGGCCAGACCCTGGTGTCTGCTTCAATCTGCCTCCAGACACGGCTGGAAACTGATCTCAATACTCAGTTATCTGGGGGAAGCCCCGTGGTGTATCCATGTAAAATCTGAACAGAAGAACCTACTGTGCACAGGCTTTTTCTGCAGCAGACTGCTTCATTCTTAATCACTTGATTATAATTCCCTTGATAATTAATTATTTATTAAATTGATTAATTAATATTCCATGTGCTTTTAACTATTTGTCTATAATGTCTAAATGCAAAGTCATCTTTTTAGGTAAAATTTTTCAAAGTAAAAGATTTGCAATCTTCAATTATTTATTGAAATAAAAACACCTGAGAAAAAAATAAAGTGGAAAAATTGCACATCACATTAAAGCTAACTCCTATTGAAATAGCTTGTAGGAAATCATTCTTACTCTTTTAGGCAAATGTCACATTTATTATCAGAAGAATGAAGTAGCCTTGTATTTTAAATTACTTTTCTTCCTAGATGTTTATTTTGATTATTGTGTTAATGGAAAATATTTCTACACATGAGCAATTAATACTAGTGAAATTGAATATTACAATAAAATTAATGTCAGGTTTTTGTGGAATCATGAAGAATTTTAAAGCATATCCACATTTTTTAGAAGATGACAAAATATTTGATTTTTTTTCATCATGTAGAATATCACACAGCATACTAAATGTGCCTGTGTGTAAAACAGAAGTGGTAAACCAATGGGAAGAAAAAAAATTTATGTACACATAGTGGTCACAAAACTTACACCTGAAATAGTGAAAAGACATGAAAGAGATGGTTATTTAAAATATCAAGAATTTTAGAGGACAGGTAAGAGGCTAGAAGGTAGAAGATTTTGAGGGGTTATACTGCCTTACATTTATATAGAATTTTACCAATGCCATATCAAAGAATTATTCTGATTTTACACAGGAACAAATGTGACTATATTGCTGTTATTAACAAAATCGTGGCAGGACAGGGAGCCCCTGCTCAGAATCCAGCTGTCCTGCTGTCAGCTATATCAAAGAGCCTAAAAATTAACACCTTGTATTTCCCTATCTTTTCCATCATAAGTATTCCTCATCCTCATAGAGAAGATCTTGGAAAGACAAAAATATTCCTGCTCAGATTCTGCTGATAGTTGGAATCCATAATTGTACACATCTACTTTACCTTGCTATATAGTTCTCACTTGTGCTATTGTGGTGGGTGGAAGCCAGGCACCCACCAAAGCTGCTCTATCACTCCCTTCTGCAACTGGACAGGGAGAGAAAATATAATGAAAGGCTCATGAGTTGATAGAAGGACAGGGAAAGATCACTCACAAATTACTATCATGGGCAAAACAGCTCAGGGATATTAATTTAATTTCTTATGAATCAAAATCAAAGCAAGATAATGAGAAGTAAGACAAATCTTAAAAACACATTTCCCCAACCTCTCCCTTCTTCCTGGGTTCTACCTCCACTCCCCCACTGGGACAGGGAGTTATGGTCAGTTCATTACAGGTTGTTTCTGCTACTGCTCAGGGAGTCCTCCCCCTGCTCCAGAGTGGGTTCCTCCCATGGCAGACAGCTCTCTGTGAATTTCTCCAGTGTGAGTCCATCCCATGGGCTACAGTTCTTCATAAACTGCTGCACCACGGGTACCTTTCCATGGGGTGCAGTCATTCAGACACAGCCTGCTCCAGTGTGGGTCTCCCACAGGATCACAAGCCCTACCAGGAAACCTGCTCCAGCATGGGCTCCTCTCTCCAGGGGTCTGCAGATCCCTGCCAGGAGCCTGCTCCAGCATGGGCCTCCTGCAAGTTCACAGCTTCCTCAGAGGCACCCACCTGCTCTGATGTGGGGACTCACAGGGGGATCTCTGCACCTCCCTGGATGTCCATGGGCTGCAGGGGCACAGCTGCTCCCATGGGATGCACCACAGGCTGCAGGGGAATCTCATCTTCACCTTCTGGAGCACCTTCTCCCCCTCCTTCTGCCCTGACTCTGGTATATGCAGGGTTGTTCTTCTCACATAGTCTCACTTCTCTCTTCTCTGGCAGCAATTACAACTGCACAGTAAGTTTTTTGGTTGGTTTGGGGTTTTTTTTTCCTTTAAAAATATGTTATTCCAGAGGCATTATCACTAGTTCTGGTTGGTGCAGCCTTGGCCAGTGGTGGGCCTATCCTGGAGCTGTCTGCCATTGGCTCTGCTGGACATGGGAAAAGCTTCTGGCAGCTTCTCACAGAAGCCACCCTTGTAGCCTCCCTGCTACCAAAAACTGTCTACACAAACCAAATGCAGTTATTTAATTTGGACTTCTCATTTTACAAAAGGCTGCAATTATTTTTACTTGCTAGAGATTACATTTATATCTGAAAAGTACTAAAGCTGATGGTAGAGAGATAAGTAAAAAACTTGTCCATCTTTTCTTAAGTAAAATTATTCAGTTGAACTTAGGAGCACTGCTTTACTTTTCTTTTCACCAGCAGTGCCTTAAAAACAGTTTATAAAGATGATTTGCTAGCTGGTTTATACAGCTTAGGCTTTGCTAGTAATTTTGACAATCTTCAATTTTTTGCTAGTATAGCTTAGATCAAGGGACATAGCCATTTTCTCATCCTTCAGGCTCTCTAAAGGAGGTCTGCTTTCTAAAGCTGGAGACAGCTTCAGTGTAGTCAAAGTGATGAGTCCTTAAAAAACAATATACCAAAATTTTGAAGCCAAGGAGTGGTTTTTCCCCATATGCTACATCTGTTAAAAGGCAGTCTCGATCTGGGAGTCTTGCATCATCAAATCCCAGGGCAGGGCATTCCCTGTGAGAGCCCATTGCATCCACACCCCTGTTCCTAGACATGCACTGACATCTGACAGTGATGATCATGGCTGCCCTGCCAAAAGTACTGACTGTAATAATGGTTAATACTGAAGTTCCTCTTTTATCACTTGCCAAAAAAGTCTGTTCAGGATTCAACGTGTGAGGGTAAATTCAGGCTCCATCAAAGCCAGTTGGAGTTTTGCCATCAACTTTGATGGGGTCAGGATTCCATCCGTCATGTCTTATGGGTAATGTAATACAATTTCTTCAGGAAGCCAAATGTTAGCTCTGATGCAGTGGATTGCAAAACCCAATATACGTGTCCTTCACTTAGACCAAAATTTGACTCACTGTCTTCAGTGGCCCAAGACATAATGGCACTCACTTGTGCCTGCTGCTCCTTGCTGTGGATCTGTTTTCCTGCTTATTCTTGAAGAGGCAATTCAAACATCCAGTTCCACAATGCAAAATCCAAGCAAAACCTCATAAAGACCTATATACTGACAGGGCAAGAATTTTGATTTCAGATACAGAGAAGTAGATGAAACCAAATGTAACATTATCTACGTGTAATAGAAGTTTAAGTGACATCAGCATTCTGCTCTTAATCTGTGATCTTAAACAACCTGGTAATTAACAAAGAGATTTTCAGTGTATCTTTGAGTTAAAATTTAATAGAAGACCAGAAATGTGCTTGTTGAAGTTCAAATGGAGAAAATACATAACACAGAATAAAACCTGTGTATTAAAGAACCTGATTAAGAAATAGTAAAATCTGTAACACAAGTAAAGCCGGGGATAATTTTTGTCATCCCAGAGTAAGAAGCTGCATTGAGTGGAAAATATAAAGGTTACTGAATGTTACCTGGGAATAAAGAGATGAATATGCAGTTTTCTAAATGGCATTGTAATTAACATTGTCATTTTAATTTAGAGCTAGTGTAGCATGAAACATACAGCCCCTTTTATGGGTTCTGTGGCAAAACTAAGCAGCTGAGAACAAAGCAGGCTAGAGGAGGGCAGCAGTCCCTCTAGCTGGGTGCTCCCAAGTCTTGTGTATATGTTCTTTCACTCCTAATGACATCTACATGATTCTTTTTGTGTCCTGTAATGATGTTATCTGTCAAAAAAATTAGGGAAGACTTCATCTCCTTCCCATTATTTTTATTTCTTCACATTCCATTGAATTTTTTTATTATTTTTTATTATTGTTTTAGATGATCTTATGGTATTTCTCCCTCCCCCCCCCCAACAGTTATTCTGATACGATCAGTTCAAGGGGCAGAGGTGCAAAAATAACCACATTACTAATTCTGAAGTCTTTATCTAAAAGCAGGGGAAAGCATGTGCAGTGGGGATAAAAGTGGCAATAAAAGTGGATTTAGGTATTTCGAAAAGCTAAGTCAGTAATACCTAACACATACAAACGGATGCACACATTACCAGGGAAGCTGCTTGTTTACCTTATTTCATAGATTTTAAATAATTCTGTTGGTGACCCTGCAAGTTGCTTCACTGCTTAGAAATAATTTTGCCATGGCAGCAGAAGGTAAGGTAGGGACAGGAGGTAACTAATTTTTTTTTTTTACTTTTGCATTTGTATTAAGATTATAAATGAAATTCTCTACCTTTTGATGTAATGTAAGTTATCTTTTTTTCTGTAGGTGTTAATAGCAGCATATCTGCTCACCGGTACTGTTGGTGTGGAGGTCTGGCAGAAGCCTTTTCTGTTTGGTTATTATATTACAGATGTATTAGTTATCCTGCTTATAGGTAAGTGTCCAGATCTATGCAAAAGTGTACTGCTTCTTAATTATTTTGATTTAGTAGTTTTTATATTTTCCTCTTTTGTTTGGTTTTACTTTTGTAAGTGTTGGCTTGTCCAAAAATACATGAATAGAGATAATTATAAGGGTTAATATTGGAAAACTTTTAAAAAGAAGATAACTTTGGAATTTTTTTCCTCACTGAATTACTGTATGCTGCATACAAATAATATAGAAGACGCTCCTTATCTGCATGTGCAGTTCAGTGCAGTGTGCTGGCTTGCTGGGCTCCCAAAGTCTCAGGAACTCCTCATGTCACTCAGATAAAGTGTCACTTACATTTATGTATATTCTAAGTTTAGTGTTTTGGCCTGGAGCACACTATGTTCCAAAATATTATGTACAGAGGGGATGAAGACATTATTTAAATAACCTTAGATACACAACTGTAAATATGAATAAAAGCCGGGTTGTTTCTAAGCTCTTTAGTATTCCTTTGCAAACAGAAGAGATTTATTTTTCATACACAGCAATAGCCTATTTGGTCATTATTTGATACTGTCAGTGTAGTTTGAAATGAGCATTGAATGTTTTTTGACTGCTATATCAAGACTGAGAACAAGAGCGCTTACATTTTAATGAGTTAAAAATAGAGACATCTTAGCTGAAAATCTGTGTAAGTAAAATGTCTTTGATGTGTGGCTTGAAAGGTGAAGAAATTAGCATATGCATTTTGGAGATTTTTATATGAGCATACAAGTGGTGAGAAGAAGGCACCAAAATGCTGTTTCACATGAGCACTCCAGGCTTGCATCCCAAGAAACATCTGCCCTTGAGCCAAATGGAGGACATGGTTATAAGTGCTTCTCCCATGTCAGCTCGAGAGGAGCCATTTGAGCATTTTGCACTGATGTGTGCTTTCACCGCCCTCTCCCTAGGGAAAGGTTGGCAGCAGGTACCACCTCTTGTCCCAGCACTGTTTCCCAGAATTCCCAGATTAGAAAGGACCCTGTGTTCAGACTGTGCTTTCTAATGAGCAGTGTCTGCAAGGACGTGGTTTTGTACTTTACCCCAAAAAAAACCCCAACAGTGTGTGACCAAGATGATACAGTCTTTTTCTAGTCAGACCTGATTTAGGCACTCTGAGGAAAAGAAAGAAAGGAAGGGGGGAAAAATAGTGGTTGCCTTTTCAGTAGTCAGTGAATTATTCACCTTTGACAGAGGTGTAGCTGAAGACAGGGAATGATTTGTGCTCTTGCAGCAGCACTGCAAGCCCAGGGGAGATGGATGCTGGCTCAGCCAGAATGGGCAGCTTAGGTCAGTGTTAGGTGCTAGCAGAGGCCAGCTCACTGAACACACTTGTTCTGTGCTGCACACATCAGTGCTTGGTTCCTGTCACTAAGACACATGAGATCCCATTCAGGGAGTGCTCTGATGGCTTCCCTTGCACTTGGGAAACCATGGATGAAGGTCTAATTCAAACTGTTAACATAGTAGGAACACTTGTGGAAGGGAAGCATTTCAGCGTTATCAGATCTGCAGGTGTAGCATCCGTTTTCATACTCTGCCAGAACCAGCTGCAAAGCAATGTTTGATGGACTGTTCCATTAACACAAGAAAGAAGTACTGCTTCTGTCTTCTGTGGTATGCTTGTATGAATAGATTTATGAGCACAGAATAGTATTTCTTCCATCATTGTCCCAAGCAGAGTAGGCTTAAGTAGGAGCAAAAAGGTTTCTCCAAAAACCTTGTCGCACACTATGCACAATGGCAACTTTTGCAACTTAGTTGACGTTAAATATGGGTTTAAAGGATGCAAAATAATAGTCTTGGTTGACTCTGTATTATAGGATTATCATAGAGCTTAGTAAATCTCTTAGAATCATACACCAAATTTAAATATAGAAAAAGTAGTATTCTTCCACTAAGGGTCATGTTGGTCCAGAAAACACTGCCATTTTGTATTTGAATCTCAGCTCAGCAGTAAGGTGGTTATCATTGGGTAGCCTGTGTGCAGTAACTAGGGATATGTGAAATTTTTAGAAGCTTGTGGTAAATTGCAGGACCCCACTGTGACTGCAGAAAAAGTACCTGTCTAACCTACATCAAGGGCCAAGCAGCCAGGAAAATTCAATTATTCTCTCCCTTAGAGAGACTGCAACAAGTGTGTCTTGCTCAGACAGTACCATTTGTATCAGAGAGCCCACTCTGGCTTGCTCAGTTAAATGCCTCTGTGGCTAGTTAAAAACAAAGTGGGCCTCTGATGCTTTTTACAAGCTAGTTTCCCAGGATCCCGAGAGGAGCCATTAAACCATAAATGGTTGTGCTTAACCATCTGATGGCATTTAGTAGTCACTAGTGGTCCTTCTAACAACGAACCTGTAGCTGCTCCATCAATACTTGGCATTTGTTTGGTGCTTTTACTGTTCCATACACAACAGGAGTTCAGCTGCTGAGCCATGGCTTCTCCAAGAGCAGCTGGGCTTTAGCTCCTACCTTCTGTGGTGGGAAGAAATCCAAACAACATGCACAAAAGTGTTTTTCAGATGTCATTCCTGGAGTTTTCTGGGGGAAAAAAAATAACCCATGTATAACCTAAGGATGAACTCTACAAAAGTACCTCTTCAGAGGAAGCTGTGGTATCACCAGGTGACACTCACTCATTGAAAATAATGGAGCTTTTATCAGGTGCCAGAACACACAAAGATATATGTAAAAGTGCAGCATTACTGGTGTTTAGATTAGATCTTTTAGGAAAGAGAACTTTATGTAAGTTCCTGGGAACTGTCTGGCACACTGTGAACACCTGTAGGAAAGCCAAGTCTTGAGTTGCTGAGCTGTGACCTCAGAGGACTACCCTGTGAAACAGAGAAACTTCAGCATAGTATTTTATGGGAATTTGTCAGCCACCCAGCAAACATGATCCTGTAATTTTCACTGGCAGTGAATACAATTCCATCCTTCAGCTCCAAAACACACACCTAGCTGGACCTTGAATCAATGAGGACGGTCCTTCTCCCATTTCCAGAGTATGTTGACCTGGCTACTAGGCAAAAATGCCTTTTGTCTCCCAACATGGGAGCAGACAGACCCTTTTAAAGTTATGTGCCTGTGTGCTCATCTGGAACTAATTATTCTGCACTCATCAGGGCTCCTGTGGATGACACTCCCAAAGCTCTCTTGTGATTTAACCACAGTTGTCCCATAGCATTTTCTGGCTAACTAGGGTCCCTTCAAAGGGCAGCACTGGGGTGAGAGCTATCATTTATTTTCACCCCTTCAGGGCATCCCAAATGCCTAACATTCTCTGTCACTCTGCTATCAGGTTGACAGCAATATGAAATATTTACAATAAGCATTTTAAAGCAGTCAGTTCTGTACATAAATTCTAGTACCACAAATGATACTGTAGATTTTGTGAGAAGATTTTCACCGACAGGTTGGCATCTGTAGTTCAGGGAGCAGCATTACTAATTGATGATGGTTTCTGTCTCACGTTGCTATTAAATGACCTGTAGGTGCATGCTCTGAATGAAGCATTTCCCATGTTTGGGACCTTCATACTTGCTCTGTATGAAGATTTTATAATGTCTAATAAAATTTGAGTTCAGGCTACAATCCTTTCCTGGAGAAAGGAAGATGGAAACATGCATGTTACTGGAAATTCCTTTTGATGTATTCTTTTGCTCAGAATTGACTAAGGGCTTGGAAGTTGTGGTGGGATGTACACAAACAAATGGGGTTAGCACATCAGCTTCATTCCTTAGGAAGGTAAATTGGAAAAATTATACACAGAGTTTCCTACTCCTTCTTGGTATTAATTGCAACAACAAGAATAGCCCTCATGGGAAAAGGATCACCTAAGCATGGAGTGAATATATTATACTTCATCAGTGCATGGTACATAGAGCAGACTATTTTGTAATCCAGACATGGTGTCATGTTTGACTCTACTCTGTTTGGTCAACAGTGCCCAGATCTGGCTACTGAAGCCTGTGGCAAAGGTGAAACAAGTTTTCAGTGTGTAGGTTTGATCAGGAAATGTGAATTGAGTTTTAGTATCTGTCAGAAAACTGAAACTTGAACTTTGTTTTAGAGATGCAGCCAAAGCATTCAGAATTTTTTCCTATGATGTGCACGGGTTTGGGTTCTATGTGGACTTGTACAGTGTTTTCCTTGAGGATCACTCTTCCCCAAGCTACTTAAGTACATAAAATGAGGAGTGAAAACATAAATAAACAGATAATAGCAGCAAAAAAGTAATGATGAGGCCAAGTTGTAACATTTAAAACATGCCAATTATGTGAATTTCATCATAGTGGGAAAGCACAGTTACTCCTCTAAAACAGTGCTTTGTACTTACACTGTGCTACATCCTGTATATCAAAGGAGGACACACAATGGGTGTGTGCCATGGGTGTTCATACAACAGCCTGCCCCCTTTTCAGTGTCAGAAACTGTTTAGGAGGCCACAGTCAAATTATGAATTTTTTCTGCCCCCTGTGGAATTTTGTCTTTCTGTAGTGAGCTCCTATAGTTCCCATTGCGAAGTGGCTGATGGTTCTGCCCTAGTGATGACTTGCTGAATGATTACATGTTGAGTGCAATGTTTTCAAAAGGTTTTTGCTCTGACAGGCTTTGACCAGTGCTGCTCGAGAAGCATGCTTAACATGAGTTGGCTTCTACGTGTCTGTCACCAATTCAACATTTATTAAGGCATTGTTGTGACAGATTGTACGAGGCTCCATTAAAGTGAAGGGTGTGAAATACTCACCTGTCACTTGAGATATATTTTTAAGAAGCCTCTGAGTTCATGTTTGGAGTAACTCATCTGAACCAGTCAGAACAATAACCCAGAAAAGCAGAGTGCTCAAGGCCAGAGGCAGAGCAGTGTCACAGGATGCTGATTACAGGTGGGAATGAGTTTGGTGGTGTTAAGGTGTGAGGAGTCATTTCAGGGGCTCTGGGACCCCCAGGTGAAGGTCTAACAAGGGAGCTCACCTGGCA